ACACACACACACACACACACACACACACACACACACACACACACACACACACACAGAGCCTCTTGATGCTAGACTTTCATTCTCACCACTCTCTGCAGTCTGGTGTTAAGTGACCAATCATCCCAAGAGCATTTGATGGGGTTGATTATTTCTTCCTTTGAAAACACTTTCTTCGGAAGGCCTCTAGAGGAGTGTGCTCATGTCTCTCCTCCTGCCTTGCTGCACCCTACTGTGCATGTCTTATTATCTACTTGTACACCCATTTGCTTTCCTGGCTCCCCCATGGAGGTAAGGTATTTGCTATGAGATCAACTGCCCAGCTAAGTAGGTACTGCAGCATTTGCTGAATGGCCCTCAGAAATACTGAAGTTATCCACTGTCTACAACACATTTCAATAGACACAGCATACATTTTAGTAATGAGCCATATTATAATTAGGTTGCCTTCCTTTGTTTTTTTCAGTATGCCAATTATACAGACACTGAAAGTTTTTGGAAATCAAAGAGTAAGACAGAAACAAAAATAAAAAGGAGTTGTACTAATTGGCTGAGTGAGGCTGCTTGCAGCACTATACTGAAAAGGGAACTGATGCTAAAGCAGTTTCAGGAGGGAAGAGCCATGGAGGCGTTTCCAGGGAGGAGTGGAGGGACTGCTGCCAGCTGACCACTATTCTGAGATTTTAAACTCCCCTCTGTGTAAACCGAGTGATGACAGCAATCCTGTACCTACACACCCACTGCCTACTGGGAGGGACCCTCCGAGTGAGTAACTAACACAGCATCTCAAACCAGCAAAGAGCAGACACAGCCCCTGATCTACAGTGCCCTTCCAAAGGGGGGAGCCAAACACCACTCTTCTTCAAGTCTCCTCAGAGACAATACCTACATCCATCCAGGGTAAGATCGCTATGCACTGCCATGGCTCTAAGCATTGCCTGAACCCCATTTGCTTAATCCTGACCACACATCCATATCCATGAGCAAATCTCACTAGTTCTACCCCATTTCCTGGCTTTATCCAGGTCTCTCCATTGCTAGATTAGAACCACCTATTATGGCCTCTCCCCTAGTCCATTATCACAACTCCTCGACTTGTTTGTTGCCTGTACTCCTTACAACCTCAGCTTCATTCAAAAGTCTCTTTTTATCTTTACTTACCTTATTTTACTCAATTAATTACTTTATTAGAGGCAGGCGCTCACTGTGTAGCCCTGGTTGGCTTGGAATTTGCTATATAAACCAAGCTGACCTCAAAGTCACAGAGATCTGTCTGCCTCTGCCTCCTATGTGCTGAGATTAAGGAGGCCACCATGCCCAGCTAACAGCTATTTTTAAAAATTCAAATCAGGAGGCTGGAGAAATGGCTCTGTGGCTAGTATTATTTGTTGCTCAGTTCCTAGCACCTATCTGGCAGCTCACTACTATCTAAAATTACGGTTCCAGAGGATCCTACAAAATCTTCAGACCTCCAGAAGGCACCAGGCATACACATGGTACACAGACATACATGCAGGTAAAATACTCACACATAAAAAGTAAATTTAAAAAATACAAATTAGGGCAAGAGGATCTAGATGAGCGATGATGGGTGCTTGCCTAGCATGTACAGGCTTTGGTTTCATCCCCAGCACCACAAAACAAAACATGTGGACCAAGGGTCACTCATGATTTCCTACTGCGCTTGAAATCAAATCCAACCTCAGAGCCCTGTAATTTTCCCTGGTATACTTTTTCAATTTCATTGCAAACCACTCTCCTTTTACTCCCTGTGCTTCAGCCACACTGGCCTCCTTTAGGGTAGCTGTTTTTAACCATGCAGCTTTTTTTTTTTTTTTTTTTTTTTTTTTTTTTTTTTTTTATCAGCTGGTCCCTAGGCTGGAAATCTCTTGGTGACATTAAGTTGCAGACTTACCTTATCATTCAACCCCAGGTGACAGTGACTACCTGACATCCTCCCTTAGTTCTGTACAATGAATACTCATTTCATACCAGAGTATCAATCTATTGGTTTGATTTTTCTCTCCCCTGTGCTAAGATCAAAAGAGTAGGGATCCCAGAGCTACTAGCTGAAGATGCATTATAAAGATTTAAAAAAATGTATTTGGACATTGTGACAAGATCAGTTTGTTATATGAATATATGAATTTTTTTATTATTGACTTTTGTTTGTAGACTAAATAAGAACATTATTACTGACTTTTATTTGTAGAATAAATGAATAAAAACATAACAAAGAAAGAATTTCCAGTTTGGAGTTAGGAAATACAACTTTTCTTTTTTGTTTTGTTTTGTTTGTTTGTTTATTTTTTGAGACAGGGTTTCTCTGTGTAACAGCCCTGGCTGTCCTGGAACTCGCTCTGTAGACCAAGTTGCCCTCAAACTCACCAAGATCCGCCTGTCTCTGTCTCCAGAGTCCTGGGTTTAAAGGTGTGCACCACCACAGCCTAGCTAGGAAATGTAACTGTTTAGGGTGTAAAAGCCTAAGTTGTTCTGACTCAACTCTGAAGTGTGCCAATTTCTTTGCCAGGAGAATTATATGATCACTTCAAAGTAATAAGACATTAGTTTGCCCTCAGAGAGCTGCAGAGACACATAAGTGACACTTTGGACAGTGTGGTAATGCCTTGGAAGGAAACTTTGGGAGAAGTCACTACAAGGAAGGACTTCCCACAGCTAGGGGGACAAATCAGGAACTGGTTCTAGAAGAGGGGCTATTTGATTTAAGCTTCATAGGAAGGATGTGGAGTTGCCATATGGCTGAGGGAAAGGGCATATCATTAAATGCATGAAGAGTCTAGAGAGAGGAAATATGAATGGGAAAGCAGAAAGTTCATAATGTATTTAGGAAAGTGAAAGTATGTGACTGTCACAGGAGAAGAGAGTGAATTGAGGTGGGTTAGGAGGGAGGGGGAGAGAGAGAGAGAGGCTAAGAGGATTAAACAGTATCAGGGGACTTGTGGATCTTGAATTTCTGAAATGAAGAGTTGGAGAAGGAAAAAAAGGAAGATAATTGCAATATGTCACATAATCCTCATCAAAGAAATGTCATTACAGGATGAAAAGTGGAGACAACAGGGAGGACAAAGAGGCCATCATGGTTTTCCAAGCAAACCATGGCAGAATGCGGGTGACATGTGGAGACAGAGCAGAGGGAAAACTAAGATCAGAAACTTAAAAAACCAAGTGGAGTAACGAAGACTATAACACACAATAAAGCAAAATGCCACCCAAGGCACCACCAACAAGACAGGGGTTGTTGTAGATGTCACAGATCTGTCGGGAGTTTGTCCCATCTATACTAGCAGAAGAGAGTTTGGTTAAGACCTCCAAAGCTGAGGAAAGGCATTTTGAGCTTTAAAAGGCTTCCATACACCACCTGCTTCCATGTGCAAACAATTAAAGAATAATCTGCATGTTTAAAATAAATATTCTATCTTTAGGGTAGAAATAGAAAAACAACCATTTCTAACTTTAGCACTGCAATCTTTTACATGGATCCTAGTCAACTCTGCGTTATAAACAACCATCACAGTCTCACTTCTCATCAGTCTTCATTTTCATTAGGAGAAAGTAGATACATAGAAACGATAACCCTCCAACTGAGGCACATTATACAAACTGTAAAAATGAATGCTGCAAGATAAAAAGAACACTATTTCTATTTTTTAAATAAAAAATGAAGCCAACAATAAACTATGTTTTAGGACAAAGGGTCTGAGATGACAATCAAATCAGCTGAACAACACACTACAGCAAATAGTCACTGAGACTGAATATCCCTACATACAATGTCTTTACGAGGCCCTAGCACCATGGTAGGTGAGAAAAAGAAAAACGAAATTGCATAATCCAAGGTAGTTCTAGCAAAGGCAATGCTGATACTAGAGTTTGACATTGTCATATCTAGATATAAACTATAATATTCTAGTTAATGCAGTTTATATTACCAATAGTTTCTATAGATACAGTGTATGATTTAAGATTTGAATTATGATCAAAGGCTTGAGTGTCAAAAAAAACAAAAGGAAATGTTAAAACTCCAGGCAAGATATAAATGGAAAGTGCATGAAAATATGAAGATAAAAAGAGAATCTGGACAGGAATTTCTTTAAAGACCAAAGAAAAACCCACATGATAATCTGACTGTAGCTCTCTAATCAAGTAGTGTTGAGTTGCCCCCCTCCCATTTTAGTAACAGATAATAACACGGTATGCCACTTACCTTACAACTATAAGAATGGCTATAAGAATCGAACAGATAGGATCTGCTATCATCAACCCAAAATTTTGCATCATGATGGCAGAGGCAATTACACCAATACTCCCAAGTGTATCTGCTAGAATGTGTAAAAATACACCTAGAAAGAAAGCATCATCGAAATTAAAACTGTGACATAGGAATATTCCTTGGGACTCTGCTCAAAATTTCATTCATAAAACATTACATATCAGTAAGAAAAACCAAGAGGAGTACTGACTGCTTAGTACTGCACAGCAGAGTACTTACGAACTGACATAACTGTTTTCACAATCACCGCTTTAAACATCTAACTGGTAGATTATTATTTTACCTGATCTTAATAGAACAGTACAAATGAAAGAATAGAGAAAATTAATTTTAAACACTGTTTATGACATTCATCTTTACTTTAAAAAGGACAAAGTTTAAAAAATTTGCTCAGGGAAGAAAAGGGTATCAGGTGGGGAAAAAAAAAGTTAAGAAAGTTAATTTTGAAAACATGTACACACAATGCCCTCTGCTGGCGATTAAAAATATTGCCTTAAAATTTCATCTGGGTCCTGATACTACTTAATCGGATATTAATTATCTAAAAGGTTTTCACTACCTAAATTTGTTACTATGCTCAAATACACTGTGGGGGGAAAAAGCAGGTATCTGAATAGTTTTAAATGACTAGAAAATATATATTGAACCTTTACTATTAAGTACTAAGTAGGTCACTGGTTAGCTGTTTAAGAACTCAAACACACTATTAAGATAAGTGACATTTGCCTGGAACACCATAAAAATTTCAAGACTGAAATTGCATATACAATTCTTTCTAAAAATACCTAAGACAATAACTCACTCAACATGTAAATCCTTAATGAGCAAAACTCACCACACAGCAAAACAGTCATTAAACTTAAGTGTGCTTTGCTCAGAAAAAAACCTGTTAAGTCTTCCTTCAGCTCCTTAACGACTGGCTCTACATGGCAGACTGTAACCAGCTTAGAGATTTGTTCTGGACTCCCTGAGCAATAAAAGGTAAATACATGCAGATTTAAACTAAAGGAAATTTTGTAGCAGCTTAAACTCTGACCACTGAGTCCTTTTAAATCTTAATGTTTGCTGGGAAAACACAGTTCATGGTCTTTTGTATAGTTTACAACAGGCACAGCACATGGCACCCCGTCCTCACACCCCCCATTCCTTTTCATCTGTGCAGACTACTCTGCAGAAATGTTTACACCTGTGTGTGGATGTGTGTGTACATGTGATAACATCATTTTAAGCTTTTATATTCTTTCATTAGTGTTCTGGTAGTAACAGAAAAAAAAATAGTTCTGAACAATGAAAAAAGGGGGGAAATAATTTGTTCTTGCTTCTCCTAAGGTTGTCCTAAGGAAAGTCCCTGCCAACATATAATTTCCTAGGCAGAAAATGGGTTTTATCAGCACGCATCATTAACAACTCTATTTTATTGTAACTATTCATGAAAACAAATCACTAAAGACACATATAAAGCATGTTTAACTCATATGAAATTGAAACCATGCAAGACTTGTAACACACCAATGGTCTAATACCTCTAAACCTGGTACTGAGGATGAGCAAGCAGGTGAAAACCGCATTAGCCCCAGGTGCTCATGTCCTGAGAGCAGCTGGCCAGGAGAGTTTTTAACCAGGCAGCCACAGCTGCCCTTCAGCTTCCTCCTGGCTGTCTTGAGAGCCTCAAACTCATGTATTTCAGAACAGAAATCCATTTTCATTATAGCTTTTACAAAAGACATTAAAATGATTTTTCATTACTAAATATAAATTATTATCAAAGCTAATGATAGAACTTGATACAGTTGCATCAAAGATGCGAAAAGACCGTTTTTAAAGCAGTTCCATTTATTCTGTAAATGGAAAGTTGGTGACTAGAAGGTAGCCTGAGCCCTTTGAAAATAAATTTTCCCAATGGAGAAACACAAAAAGTAAGAATTAGACCAAGAAACAGTTGAGGAAAACACATGCAGGAGAGGCTGGATCTAAAGCCACTGCAAAAACTAGACTCAAGTAGAATTAACATTAAAGTGTCCGGCATCTTAAGAACATTCTGAACATTATTCTTGGAAAAATGGTCATAATCCTAGGAAAGCAAACAGACCGGAGTCACTGTAGTCAGGCCTAGTACTTACCTCTAGCAGGCTTTTCCAATTTCTAGCTTTTTGTTTTTTAATTAGATCCAAGAAAACAGTCACGTGACAAATATTGCTAATATACCCAACATTGTGTGTGTGTGTGTGTGTGTGTGTGTGTGTGTGCATGTGTTTGTCCACACACACATTTCCTAGGAGGAATAACATTTCAAATATGATTACCAAGTGCTGTGGGATCCTGTATCCTATGAATATGTGTCGTTCTCATTGGTTGATAATAAAGCTGTTTGGTCAATGGAGAGGCAGAATAAGGTTAGGAGGTACTATCAAACTGATGAGGAAGATAAAGAAGTGTGGAGTCAGGGATGCCAGCCAGCCACCAATGAAGCAAGACATGTAAAATAAAGTAACAAGCCACAAACCATGTGCCAAAACATAGATAAAAAATATGGGTTAATTTTTTTTAAAGATTTATTTATTATAGACACAGTGTTCTGCCTGCAAGTAGGCCAGAAGGGGGCACCAGATCTTGATGGATGGTGGTGAGCCATCATCATGTGGTTGCTGGGAATTGAACTCAGGACCTCTGGAAGAGCAGCCAGAGCTCTTAACCACTGAGCCATCTCTCCAGCCCCCAATATGGGTTAATTTAAATGAAAGAGCTAGCTAATAATAAGCCCAAGCCACTGGTCAAACATTTATAAGTAATATTAAGCTTCTGAGTGGTTTATTTTGGAACTGGCAGGTGGGAGAGAAACCTCTGACTACAATCAAGTTCTAATTTTTCTAAAAGGAGAACTCTGGACAACTGAGAACTAAGAAGTCAGTTCCATGAAATCAAGAAACACACAATTGCTTGTCATACCTTGTAAAATCTGTCTGCTGGGTCCTGTTGTTTCTTTGAAGGATGGGCCATCTGTGGAGAATTAAGTCGTTATTTTAAACATCTCTTCCATTCATGATCCAAATATTTGCAACTGAAAGTCGTTTTTGCTGAAGTGTATGATGGAGGTGGAGTATACAGTTATACCAGAACTACAAAATTATTTTTTAACTTAACCAAGTAATCAAATACAAGTGAATTTAGTGAGGGCAATTTTGAAATGTAACAAGGGCATAGAATATTCTGGAAATTACTGTACTATAAATAAACATCATAAGAAATTCAAAATATTACAAAATATACCAATATTGTACTAATAAAGTTTGAAGAGGTCCATGAATGAAAGTTAGAACTGACAGCAAGGTAATGAAACTGTGAAACATCAGCTTTCAGTAGCATCTGCATGACTGTGCCACTTTCTCCACAGAAGATAGTCACTTTACTAAAATCTTGCCCTTTATCATGTGACCTGCAGGGGCAAAATCAAAGTTATTGCCACAGATGTGCCCTGCAGTCTCAAAAGACAGAAAGGCTGTGTGCCACAGAGCTGCAGGTGAGCCACAAAGGATTTTAGTTGAGCCTCTTCAATAATCGAGTACTAACTGAGAAGGCATACAGGTTCATTGCTAAGGTATTAATGTATTTTGTGGGAAAGGGTGAGATGGAAAACGGACAACATATGTGACATAATCACATGTTCTGCCAAGCATAATAAGAAAAACAATGTCCAAATTTTAGAGCAGTGACATGTTTAGTATGTTAACGGTGGGAGGGTGTTTATTCCCTTAGTAAAATTCCTTTACAGAAATTAAAATAAAATTCTCTTTATGATGAAAAGATAAAACTATTATAACTTCTATTCTTAAATATATCAGAGACTATTCATCAGTTTTGCAATGAAACAAAAAGATAAGTAAATGGTAAAAGGTGGGCAGCATTTGTTTAAAAGAAGACCAGACAAGCTTCATGAATGTGAAGCATGGCGACTGAGTAGTCACTGGCTCGCAGTTGGCTGAGCATTGTATCAGTGAACCACACTGGGATAGTGCTGGGCAATAATGCAACCAAGACAGAAGCAAGAGGTGGCACACTATGTTCCATGCACTCTCCTGAAAGACGAAGCTGCCAGAAATCCTACCAACAGCTCCTGACAAATCACCTTTCTACATGTACGAAGCATCTCTCGAAAAGTCATTTCTGATGTCAGTACTTTGAACGGGATAGTCTGATGACACGGTTATAAAAACCAACTCCAACTAAGTTAACTTTGAAAGTCCTCTTGGTTGCATGGTATCTGTGGCAGAAGCTGTCAGGCTAGTTACTCTCTAAACTTGTTTCTTTTGCCTCTTGGGTCTACAACTTAGCTGTTTCCTCAGTTCCTTGAGTTGGGTGTGCTGCACTGTGGCAAGTTGTGGATAAGATGTAAAAGACTTAAGCCTCTTTCAGGTTCATGGGAATGTCAACGTGGGAACTGCAGAGGAGCCACTGGGCTACTGCAGCAGACATGATGCCCTAGAGAGAAGCAGCTCCCGATTTCTGCACCACTGGCTTAAGAGCTTTAAAAACAACATAGCTCCCTCATAGTGTTGTGTTCCAGTAAATAGAAGCTCAGTGAGATGGACAAGGGTCATGGGCAAAATGAAATTGAGGCCCATTTTCTTACATACCCCACCATACGATTAGATGTTCAAATACAAGGTTTTTTTTTTGGTTGTTTGTTTTTTGTATTTTGGTTTTTTGGTTTTTTCGAGACAGGGTTTCTCTGTGGCTTTGGAGGATGTCCTGGAATTCGCTCTTGTAGACCAGGCTGGTCTGAACTCATAGAGATCCGCCTGCCTCTGCCTCCCAAGTGCTGGGATTAAAGGTGTGCACCACCACTGCCCAGCAAATCCTAGCTTTTTATTTATTCATTTATTCATTCATTCATTTACATGTGTGCAAGCATCACACATGTGGCAATGAGAAAACAGCCTGAGGGAGTTGTTCTCCTCTTTCACCAGATGGGTTTGAACTCAGGTCATCAGGCTTGACAGCAAGCACCCCTTACATACTGAGCCATCTCACTGGTCAGAAATCCTAGCTTCTTCATTTATTATTTACTGTGTTTTGTTTGTGTCTCAGTTAATGGGGACAACAGCTATTATCTCCTTTGATAGATTATGAGAAAATTATAAAAGTAACACAAATAAAGTTCTTAGAATATGTCTAGTATATATTGAGCACTTATGATAATGATTATAATGCCATGTGTTAACGGACAAAATGAGCCTGAGTAATTTTTGAGTAAGTTTTCCTCAAACTTCCAAAATACATACTTTTATTAAAACCTAAGCCCATCTACTCAGCTAGACTGTCTGGCTAACGAGCTTCAGGGATCCACCTGTGTCTACTCAAACAACTCAAAGGAAAGTATCTGTCAGACTGGAAAATGGCCCATTGGTATAGAAAAAGAAATTTAACACCAGTACTCAGCAAGGAAATTCCAATAAAAATTTCAAGGAAATTGTTAGGAAGACTCATGGCTATTAAAAAAAAAAAGTATTGTGTGTGGAGAAAAGGGGGGCCCTTATACACTGTTAGGAGGAATGTAAACTGGTACAGTCACTACAAAGAGTGGTATGTGGTTACAACATGAGCACCAGTATTAGTTCTGGGCACACAACCAAAGGAGCTGGAACCCAGACCCCAAGATCCAGGTGTGCCTCCATTCACTGCAACATGACTTTGCACACTGAAGACATGGAAGCAACCTAAATGTGCCCAGCGGATGTATGGGGTTATCCTTCCTCCTTCTAAAAGAGAAAGCTGCAATTCAGGACAACATGGATGAATTCAGCAGACATGTGAAGTGAGTAAAACAGAATGATCAACACCAGCTACCGGTTACATGAGGACGCTGGAGGAGTCAAACTCATAGAACAGAGAGGAGCTTGGCCGTTTCCAGGTGCTGGAGGTTGGAGATGGAGAAGTAATTGTCGGAGGGTGAAAAGGTTAAGTTATATTTATTTCTGCATAAGGCCCAGAGAGCTGGACAACTCTGGAGCAATTATAGCTGACACTGTACTGTACACTTCAAGTTGTCATGACGGTAGTATCTGTGCTCTAATCTAAATAATGAATAAACAATAACGAGGTGGGGGAAACACTGGGTAGTGAGATTTATACATTAAACTGAAGAAACGGTCCCACAAGGATAAACTAGTCCCTGAGATCAAGGCATAAGCATTAAATATGCACAGCATTTTGTTTACCAATCATATTTCAATAAGCTTTTTTGAAAATTGGAAGACTGCAAAATTGGGCCTTAGAATGTTCAATCCTCAAGACTCTTCTCACTTTGTTCATATGTAAAGCTTTAGTATTCCATCCACATGGCCAGAGCCAGTAAACATCTAAGGGCATAATTTATTTAAGACATAGGTAGATTGTATTACCTAAGCATTTCCTATTAATCTATACACGTAACTTGTGAATAAATGACCTGAAATAAAATATGTTGATAAATACATTATAACTTAGTATCTATTACTATTACATAAAGATTTCTAAAGGAACAAGGAATATTAGGCAGTTAACACAAACAGTTATAATAGAAATTAAAAAATCTCTAGTATTTTTATAACATATACTAAAAGCCTTGTCAGACTTAAAACAATCAGTTTTTATTTGCTAAACATCAACTGTTTCCCATTCACACAATAAAAAGACTAGCATTTTATTACTATAGTCACTGAAAAACAAAAGGAAAAAATTAAATCCACTGTCTTACTTTCATGTTACAGTACAATAAAAAGAAACTAACACTGGAAACCATTTAAACAGACTCACTAGAGGCTAAGTGTCCTTTCACCAGACCATCCCAGCTAGGAAAAGTCACCTCACACACCACACACGTTGTTGGTTTGGAAGGCCAGCCCTCTGCACTCACCGTGAGAATGGAAGTGCCCGTGTCCATGGTCGTGGCCATGACTGTGTATGGCTCCATGTTTGGCTTCATGACTATGGCAATGGTCTTCATGGCCATGGGTGTGATCTAGAGCACCATTAAAGAGGGAGTGACTGTGTCCATGGCCTAGAAAAACAAACAATATTAGAACATGAGATATGTAAAAATACATAACTGATTACAATGACACTAGTTAGAAGAATCCTGTCTCCAGATTCAATGCAGGAAACACTTGCTTCTAATAAATACCACCAATGTACTCAAACAATCCTGAGTTCTACCTCAGAGCCCAGGAATAAGCTCTGAACGCCAGAAAATGCAAATCCTGCAGGATCTTCAGGAGACCTGCCTGCCAGATCACCTTCCAGAGGGCTGCAAAAAGAATCTCAGCCCTCTCCCAAGTCACAAGACTATAGAAAAACAAGTAATAAAGCAACCATGTCAGAGCTCTGGCCAACCAAAGAGAACCACAGAATACACAGAAGGTCATCGTCTATAGCAGCTACTAGGCCTTATAAGGAACACAATCTTTCCTTCCCAGCTGAGGAGCAAAATAAAATAACTCAAAGCAACCAAGCTGTAGATAACAGGGAGATGCAGTTGCTTTTGGTGCATTGTTACAGCACCACCTTCTGGTTAGTCAGTATTTGTCCATCAGTGCAACTCACTGGCCCTCCTAGTGAGGCTCCTAGGCTTAGAGCTCAGCAGGCACTAAAGCAACGGTGGGGAATTCCCAGAAGTCAGTCAGCTGCTGACACTAGAGTTCTGAGAACTTCAGGAAACCTCAGAGATGCAGATTCCACAAGGAACTTTGCAAAATGGCAACACACTCCTGGGACTCATAGGCTATGTACATGCCTAAGACCGACCTGAAAAAGAAGAAACTTCCACTCATCTTTCATTGACCTTGACACTATCACAAGCAGGAGATAAAAGTTAGGGTTCTCTGGTAACTAAGCAGTAGAGTTGGAAGATGTTCTTTCTCACAAAGATCCCTCTGCCAAAAGAGGAAGATTTATAAGCAAGTCATTTAAGGAAATTGACTAAATTCTGGGTGACCAATAAGCCATTCCAATCTAAGTGTGACCAGTAGTCAGACAGGATAAAAACAAAAGGAAGATCCTAAAGTAAAAACTATCAGACCACTCAATGGCCACACCCTATAAAAAACACATGATTTGTCATCCAATCCAGAAAGACTCAAAAGAAAAGTAACACAGGAACAAAATACCAGAAACAACAAACTTTAAAGGGGAGACACAATGTGATCCCAGAGTATTTTAAAACAAGTGACCTAAAGCATCCAGCTCTCATCAAGGAATGAGCAAAGCAAACGTATAGGAACTTGAGCCATACACCAAGAGACGCTAACTGAAGATACTTCTAAAGAGGCCCAGAGATGGACGTGGTAGGCAGATTTTAACCAGCTATTATAAACATATTCAAAGAGCAAAAAGAAACCAGGTCTAAAGATTCAGTAAGTCTGTCTAAAGTCAGCAAGTCAACAAAATTAACAGCATAGAAATTATAAAATCAGATTATTGGCTCATGCCTACAATTAAGCACTCAGGAGGCAGAGGCAGGAGGACAGCAATCAAAAGGCTAGTGTGGGCTATAAAGCAAGGTTTTTTTTCTCAAACAATAAAAATGTATATGCAGGCAGGGGAGCAAAGGGAAGGGCAGAAAATTTTTAGATACCAGAGATTCTGGAATTAAAGCATAATAGTAAAGTAGCCACCAGAAGGACTCAGCAACTGCGGCCGATGTACAAACAGTTAAGTAGAGATCATGCCCTCAAAAGCAGAAAGAAAAGAGAAAGAAGAAAAACCAGTCAGAGTTTCCTGAAAACAAGAGGATGGGAGAAAAATAGAAACCAACAGTTGAAAATTGCCCCAGTTTGATGACCATGTAGTCAAGAAATCCATCAAAGTCCAAGTAGAATAAAGTCAGTCATATTAGAGATATCACAGCTGATGAAAGCCAAACTAATGAGAAAACCTTGACAGTCATCTTTTCTTGCTGCATAGCTGATGTACATTAGCACTGCAAATACTAATTGCTCACTTCTCAAGAGGAATCCCAGATTCACAGAGCAGCCCTCAGGAAGACCAGACCATGGTGGGTCGTCTCTTAGTTCCATTTCAGTTAATACCAGCATGTTGCACTGAATAGGGACTCAGGTGGATCTTCCAGAGGGAGGCACAAAGCCCAAGAACTAAAGATCTCATCATGTATCCCAGGTTGGTCCAGAACTAACAATCCTCCTGCCTCAGCCTCCCAATCACTGAATTATAGATAGGTCCAAAGCGGACTCAGGGTCTTGGCTGAACTCCCACAATGCATACAAGCGTGTACACACATGTGTGGCCTGATATTCTGCCTACAATCTGCTCCAAGGGGGATGATCCTGGAACAAAAGGTGGGAGGAGACGAAAGGATGTGGACCAACCAAGCTGGTAAGCAAACAGAACGAGAGATGCTCCTCCACAAGGCAAACACCACCTTTGTCAACACACGTGCCATGGCTTGAGCACTCGCACTTGAGTATACACACAATTAAAAAAAATTAAAAGTGAAACAAACAAAAGAAAGAAACTCTAGAGGCCAAAGGCAGCAGATGGATATTGAAATGGCAGTGGTGGGTGGAAGTGAAAAATTCTACAATCTACAGAATTCCCTTTAAAATAAAGGAGAAACTTAGGCAATCCAGATGAACAAAAGCCTGTCCCCTCAAAATAGTGAAGCGTTTTTCAGGGTAAATCAAAGGACATTAAAGAGTAGTTCAAACTCACACAAAGAAAAATAAACACTGGGCAGATAACTACAAAGGCAGAGTTTGTGTTCGCAACTCTGTTTGAAAGATAGAACACAAACCAGGTAGTGGCAAACTAAGTTGCTGGGTTATAAGCATGAATTTCAGTAACAATAAAGGAGGAAGAGAACAAGGGTACACTGGAACAGAGGTTTTGTTTTGTTTTGTTTTACTGAATTAATTTACTAAGCATCTGAACTATATGTTGTTGTACCCAGGGCAACCACTGAAAGTTTTCTTAGGAAAATGATTGGAAAAGTGCTTATTCTTCCTAAGGGGGAAATATCTCAAACTCACTCATTACAAAAGAAGAAAGTATAAATAGATGGAAAAACAAACTGGGCAACAAGAAACCATCAAAGCAAAATGAGAGCATTAATACAGAGGATTTGGTGTCCAAGCCTTGGAGTTAGAAACCCTTGAAACAGAGAAGAAAATACATATGAAAAAAGGTAAGACAAAAATCAGACTATGCTGTACTTTCGTTTCTGTGACAAAATACCCTGAAAAAAGAAAAGGTAAATGCAATTATGGAGAAAAAAGAGTTTATTTCAGTTTGCACTTGTAGGGTGCAGTCAAAACGTAACTTCAAACAGCTACTCATATCACGTCCACTGTCAGGCTCACTTGCCTGCTGCGAAGCTCAATTTCAGGATCTCTTACTAGGCAATGGTGCCACCACTTCAGATAACTACATGGAGACAGTCCTCCATCAGGTATGCACACAGGCCAAACCTAATATACACAACCCTTCACTGAGACTTTCTACCCAGGAGCCTACAGGTGTGTCAGTGACAATTAATGCTAACCAGCACAGACTACATACAAATTAATCTCTATATGAAAACTAAAATACAAGCATCAACTGGGAAAAGATATTTACAACACATAAAACAAAGGAAGGTAGTAATACTTTAAGGAATACTGCAACTTGTAAACAAGTGGGGAAAAAAAACAACAACAGAGAAACAGTTATTGTCTAGGAACAAACCAGTAAAATGTCCAACTTCCCTACTAACCAGAGACAAGAAAAAAAATCAGAAGCCACATTTATTAAATGTGAACAAACCACTTTAATCTGTAATATTAAAGGTTGATGTAGTCTGGGGAGAAAATGAATACATTTATTTCTGGATATAACAGTCATTGCGGAAGGCAACTTGAAAAAAAAGTGTATCTACTAAAAATAAATATACACTATGTTTTATGAATCCTACTTATACATTGACACACTGAATTAAAAGAACTATTTGTAGGGATGGAAATGGTCTAGGTCTGAACTATGCAACATGGCAGCTCCAGATGCTTTCTTGTTCCCTCTGCTTTCTGTTGTATTTTTGTTTGGGGTATATTTTTTGTTTTGTTTTGTTTTTTATTTGGCTTTGTGGTTGAGACAGGGTCTCACTATGTATCCTAGATAGCCTGGAATTCACTATTTAGAATAGGTAAGGCTGAAGGTAGCTAGCATTAATACTCTTGCATCTGTCTCCCAAGTGCTGGGACTGTAGTAGACACGCACCACCAGGCCTGGCTTCATACCATGGAGTGTTCTGTGAGTTCATTATAATAAAGTGATTTCATAAGTTAATAAAAAAAATGCAAGGTAGTAGACCAACATCTATAAATGGAAGGATCTTTAAAATGTATCACACAATAATTATAAGCACACACACAATTTGTTATAGTAACTAGATTTGTGGTTTTCTGATAACTGTTTTTTAGTATGAATTAAATATTACATAAAGCAGATGAGCTACTTGAGTCTGGAGAGGTCCATACCATTATGATAACGTGCATAACAGCTCTGAACAGCACTGGGACAGAGCTATGGTTAAGTACAAGGGCTGGTTCAGGAAGACATATCTGAGTATCTAGACATCACCCTCTTGCAACTTTAAAATTATTAATTTTCTAAAGTATTTAATGACAGAAACATGCAAAATATTAAAAAGAAGAAAACAATGGGGACTTACAAGGATATCTGCCCCCAAGACTGAAGACCTGAATTCAAGCCCCAGAACACAGGGGACAGAGAACACCAACTCTCTCAGATTGTCCTCTGACCTCCACATGTGTGTGGGCACGCGCGCGCGCGCGCGCGCGCGCACACACACACACACAGACACACACACACACACACACGTGTGTGGGCACGCGCGCACACACACACACACACACACACACACACACACACACACCAAATAAATGTCAACAAAATGAAGAAACAAATAGTTCTAACCATCATACCAGAGCCATGAGAATGTCCATGACCTCCGTGATTGAACACAAATATTCCCACTAGGTTTACCACAAATCCAAGAACTGAAACAAGCAGGAGTCTCTCGTGGTGCACATCTGGAGGAGCCAGTGCTCTCTGAAAACACACAATATGAAGAGACAGCATCGGTACGGTTCCTGAATGAAACTGCTGGCATTTCAGTGCAATATTAAAACTTTTAGTCATTTTTATAAGTAAAAGTGCTCAAAACTGCCTGCCCAAAGTTGAGACAGCTAAAGCCATTATTCACATACTACTGAAAAAATAACAATTACTATCTTTAAATAAATGTATGTATGTGTGATGATATTTGGTTGCAAACCTGTTCCTCTTGCTCTCTGTAAGTTTATTAAACCTCCCACTTTCCTTCTGCTCTTAGAAAATGTACACCACGTATTAAATGTTCAGCAGCAAAACTATCAGGTTCTAAGTGTTTTGAAGACAATCCCCATAGGACCTCATTCCTCAGACTGTACCTCTACTTCTCAGTGGCAGGATTTCATTCACAGTTTATAAAGCACTTTCATTCCATTGTTTTCCAACGAGATATTTCATATATATGTAATTTTTTCACTATTTCATAAGTCCTCATATACACATACATTTTATCTCAATAAATAGTTGAAAAGATGTCTATTAATATTACATCTTTAAAATATTTTCATTGAACAGTCAGTTCCTAACTCGAATTATTATCTACTATACCTCAACTCCTTCTGAGAAAATAAAGAAAGCAGTGAAGATCAAAAACAGCCCATTGACAAAGCCAGCCAGAACTTCCGCTCTAACATACCTAAAGAAGAGCAAGGTAAACAGGGAATTATACTTCTTAAAATCCAAATGAATGTATGTTTCAGAGACTGTAAACCATGTTACATGATTCTTAAGTGCCAGCAAAACCTTCATATTTACAGAATACATTTTATATAATACTGTAAGACATATTAGGAAATTAATTTACTATGAATTATATTTGATAGCTAATGCCACAAAACACACAGTGGGCTTAGAAAGCCACAGAAATGTAAATCTTAAGTTGCCACTGTAGAGAGGACAGACCAGGCAAGTAGACAAAGAAGGAAAGGTCCAAAGTAAGAGACAATGTCTAGGAAATCGGGTTTTTACTGCAGTTATTCTCCTATCCTGAGAACTCACTTTGTACTTTATGGCGATGAAATCCTTAGGAAAGGAGCTCTGATCTCAAGTAAAGTTAAATTATCCCTGTAGTATGTCAGAGACTCCTGAGATTATGTTTATTATCTTTTCCTAAACCGAAATACTCAGCCTAAACTTTCAGTTACTTATTTTTAGAATTAACTCTATCTTCATATCATTATATAAAACCCTTGTCTCTGAGCTCCCAAAGTTTTCTGCTTCCTACTTAGGTGAAGCACTGGGGAGAGATCTCATTTTTCTATAAGGCACGTTTGGTCTGAAGCCATGGAAACAACTTTAGCTCAATGTGTGTTCACACCAGCTAGTCCTTCATCAACACTGCAAAGCATAAGAACTGCTCTTGAGACACTGCATGGTGGCATGCAGAGGCTGCACCAGGAGGGTTATAAGTTCTAGGCCAACTCAGACTATATATGGAGCCTGTCTTTGAGAAAAAAAATGCTTTTCCAGGTTCTGGCTATTACAAATAATGCTGCTAAGAACATAGTTGAACAGATGTCCTTGTATGAATGTGCATCTTTTGGGTATATGCCTAAGAGTGGAATTGCTGGATCTTTCTGAGGAATCGCCAAACTGATTTCCAAAGTGGCTATACAAGTTGGCACTTCCACCAGCAGTAGAGCAGTGTTCCCCTTTCTCCACATCCTCTCCAGCATAAACTTTCATTGGTGTTTTTGATTTTAGCCATTCTGACAGGAGTAAGATGGTATCTCAGAGTTGTTTTGATTTGCATTTCCCTGATGGCTAAGGATGTTGAACACTTTTTAAAGTGTCTTTCAGCCAATTTAGATTCCTCTATTGAGAACTCTCTAGTTGTATACACTACTTTTTAATTGGACTATTTGGTGTATTGGTGACTAGCTTCTTGAGTTCTTCGTATATTTAGGAAATCAACCCTCTGTCAGATGTGGGGTTGGTGAATATCTTTTCCCATTCTGTGGGCTGCCATTTTGTCTTGCTGACTGTGTCCTTTGCCTTACAGAAGCTTCTCAGTTTCAGGAGGTCCCATTTATCAATTGTTGATCTCAGTGTCTGTGCTACTGGTGTAATGTTCAGAAAGTGGTCTCTTGTACCAATTCGTTCGAGGGTACCATCTACTTTTTCTTCTAAGAGGTTCAGTGTGGCTGGATTTATGTTGAGGTCTTTGATTCATTTGGACTTAAGTTTTGTGCATGGTGATAGACATGGATCTATCTGCAGACTTCTACATGCCAGCATCCAGTTATGCCAGCACCATTTGTCGATGTCCCTCAACTGAAGAACAGATAAAGAAAATGTGGTACATTCACACAATGGAGTACTACTCAGCAGAAAAAAACAATGGAATCTTGAAATTCACAGGCAAATAGATGGAACTAGAAGAAAGCATCCTGAGTGAGGTAACCCAGTCACAAAAAGGCAAACATGAGCCTTTGTCTAGTAGCTGATGGAAGCAGAAACAGACACCCACAGCTTAACACTGAGCAGAACTCCTGGAATCCAGTTGCAGAGAGGGAGGAGTGATGAGCAAAGGGGTCAAGATCAGGCTAGAGAACCCACAGAAACAACTGACCTGAACAGGGGAAGCTCATGGACCCCAGACTGACAGCTGGGAAACCAGCACAGGACCAACCCAGACCCTTTGAACGTGGGTGTCAGTTAGGAGGCCTGGCAATCTATGGGGCCTCTAGCAGTGGACCAGTATTTATTCCTAGTATAAGAATGACCTTTGGGAGCCCATTCCACATACAGGGATACTCTCTCAGCCTAGACACAAAGTGGAAGGCCTAGGCCCTGCTCCAAATGATATTACAGGCTTTGAAGATCCCCTATGGAAGGCCTCACCCTCCCTGCAGGGTGGGATAGGGGGTTGGTGGGGGGCAGTGGAGGAGGCGAGAGAGAAGGAACTGGGATTGACATGTAAAATAAGATTGTTTCTAATTTAAACAAAAAAAGAAAATTTAAAAAAAGCTAGATTGTTAAAATTTTAGGAAAACACAATTCATACACATGTAAGAAAATTTAAAATATATAATAAAATAAACAACTTATTTTAACATAAAAAAGAAAAAATGCTTTTGTTAGCTTTCTATGTCAACTTCTAAACATAATTTTGTTATAAAAACATTTCTCCAGTAAATAAGACATTTTCTGGTTATGTAGAGACCCTCTAAGGATGCCCTGGAACTCACCATGGAGCCTATGAAGGCCTGAAATTATTTCCAGGTTCTGGGGTTACAACCATGTACAACCATGCCAGGCTGAACAAACTCTTCCTCTATTTAGTTATATTTGTGTTCATCCTATCAAGTACATCTAACAGAATAGGAATTTTACACTCCAGTTTCAAATACATATATATATATATATATATATATATGTAAATTAGATTCATGTATTATTTGTCAAAGCATGTACTTTTTTGGAGAAAAGTTTACTAATTTCAAGAAACATACATCCAGTTTTCTATAATTTACATTTAAAAGGGATTTATCTATTACATCAGCAGGATTATTGTTCAAAACAGAGATCATTTTCTTTTACTCTCTCCCTCTAGTCCCAAAGCTAATGCTTGACAGAAAGCCTTTTATCCTTAGGTCACTGAATTTCAAGATCAAAGGCAAGAAAGTTTTTAGGACTCTTTGGTTCCTAATTTCTAGCTCGGCAGATATGTTTCATGCATTCTGATAAACTGCTGGATTAGTGTTAGTTTATTACTGGGCCTGCTTGTAGGTTTAAAATGAAGAAGAAGAAAGCCAGACAAATGATCACAGATGATTATGTTTACCGGAACAGAGTGCGTCTTAGAATTAGAACTTGTTAGTCTGTGAAAGTGGAACTGCCTGAGCACGTCTCACGTGTCAACTAGCCAAGGCAAAAAGCAGCATGCAAGCACAAGCACAGACTGAAAAGGTGTGGAGGAAACAGGCCAGGAGAGAGGGAGAGGAGAGGGGCAGACAGGGAGAGGCTGGAGAGGTGAACATTCGGGTATGAGGATGTAAGCAAAAGTGAGAAAGAGAGGGGTTGGGGGAGGCAGAAGAGGTGAGCATGAGCAAGAGGAAAGAGGAAGTGCAACTGACGAGTCCCTGTGAGCAAGCACTAAGAAAAGAGATGGAGCGGGGACACACAGGAAGGAATTGACATGCACAAGAAAGTGGGAAAGGACATTACTAGTCCTCATCTCTGCTTACATAGGGCAGAATTATACCAAGAAATGTTCTTTGAGCTCAAAACAGGAAAATCAGGAAGCTTAAATCAAATAATGGAAACTCCACTGCTTCCCAAGTCCGTGGGAGGCCAATTCTGCTTCTAATCTGAGTCACCAAAGGTCCCTGCATAGCATGTGGCTGAGTGTACAAATTGGCGAGATGGAAATCACTGTACATAAGAGCAAAGCTAAAAAGACGAATAAGAACATGTTATGAAATAATTTTAAATAAATAATAGCAAAGTATTTCCAGCTTTAAATAAAAGAAAGAAAAAATATGATCAGCTTCATATGACTTTCTTTGTCGAAAAATAGGTTATGAGAAAATTCTTATATAGCAACAATGAATCTCCTAATTTTTTTTTTTTTTTTGGTAAAACTAAGGGCTTATCCGCCAAACAAAAGATTCTGTATATAAATAAAGTTGCATTATAGGTTCTGATCATACACTTACAACATTCTTTCTTTTATTTTGAGAGTGTAATTACATTACTTCCCCTGTTCCTTTCCTTCTCCTATATTCTTCTAAAACAGACACATTTAATACAGGAAGTTAAAGGGTAATAACCCTGAGGGAGATGAATAAGGACTATAAGAGGCCTCAGGGGAGTTTCAAGAGCTCAAATTACATAAGCAAACTTAACTTATAAAAACTCATGGCCTTAAGAGCTGTATATTTTTTGTGTATCTTGTAGTTCAAGGAAAGTATTTTAAAGTCTTACCCATAAGAGAAAGCATCATTATCTCTCCACTTTGATATAACAGAAGCTGCCAATCCGGCCAATATGGCAGTACTGTCAAAAAACATGTGGAAAGAGTCGGAGATCAAGCCTAGGCTGAAAAAGAACAAATAAAACAGTACATTATAATACAAAGTAAATGGTAAAGTACTCTCCCTAAAAGCTAAAGGTCATCTGGAATTACCTTCTAAGGCATCATTGAAATATGACACACAGAAAGATCCTGTTCACTTAAAGTCTAGTACCTAAAAATGGTAAAAACAAATAAACAAAACCACCACCAACAAAACAAACAAACAAACAAAAATCAGCCATGTGCTGCAGGACAGAAATTGTTCTCTGTCTGGTCCCAAACAAAGGCCAATGGCTAGTAAGGTAAGAAGGCTGGAAAAAACTCTGCTGCTGGAGGACAGGCTGTTATCTAGAGGCAAAGAAGTCTGCTATTATTACTATATTTTAAGATTTATTTGTTTTATGTACATGACTGCCTGCCTGTGTGTATGTGAACCACATGTACCTGATGCCCATGAAGGCCTAAACAGAGTATCAGATCCCAAGGTCAGGAGTGACAGACCCCTGTGAGCGCCCACATAGATGCCGGTAACTGGTCCTCTGCAAGAGGTGCAAATGCTCTTCATCACTGAGTCATTTCTTCAAGCTCAAGTCTGCTACTATTACTGTCATGCTCCCAGCTCTTGTGCTGTGGAGGGAAGACAGTATAAGGACCCTTCCTCTGACACCAGCTTTGTCTCACCCTGTGATGCCCTTTCCATACTATGATACACTATGATACACCTCGGAGGCTCTTCCACCAGATGCCGAACCTTCAAATTGGACTTCACAGCCTCTAGAACCATGAGTTTAACAAACCTCCATTCTTTATTTAAAAGGATATTTTAAAAGAGGCAGAACAAACACACGAACTGACACTCATTGTACCAGGACTGCCTGAGTCTAAAGCTGCAGGAGAACCCACCACCATGCCTCCACCAAGCCTGTGACATGGTAATAGGAATCTACCAAGATCACAGAGAGATCTGGCTGCCGTACAGGTACACTTGCTAAAAGCAGAGAAAAAAAAAATCAAGTATCATGAAAAACCCTCTAGTACTCTAAATTTTACACTAAGCACAGGGTAGAAGAAATCACCAGGAAGCCTGAATTGTCATTTAGTGACATTAACAAGGAAAAACAAGCTAATTCCTAGACCAACTATTGCCATACTGGCTTCAAAGCTCTACGACAGTAACCGGCCGGAAGGAAAGCTGGGGGGGTGTGTGTGTGTGCAATAACTGAAAGGACAGGATGAGGACCACTATCAAAGATGCCCTGTCAAAAACTAAAGCAAACAACACAACAGAACCAGAAATGCCCCAGATGTTAGAACTGTCAGAGAACCTTAGGGGCTGGAAAGATGGTTCAGCAGTTAAAAACACCAGATTAAGTTCTTAGCACCCACACAGTGGCTCACAACTGCCTGTAACTCCAGGTTCAGGGGATCCAACACCTTCTTCTGGACTCTGTGGGCACCAGACATGCGTGTGGTGCACAGACGTACATACAGGAAAAACACAAATACGAAAATAATTGATAATTATTAATTATTATGTTAATTGTGAATATGTGTGGAGCATTCATGGAACATTGAAAAGGTACACAACCATACACAAGATATGGTTATTGATGGTCTATTATAGACGATAACAATGAGAACAACTCACACATGTAGCCGATAACCAGATTTGGCACTCTGAGAAGTCCAGTCCCAGATGCTTCCAAGACCTGGCCTGAACCCCGGGAAAGGAGGAGCACCTCCTCTCCTCGCTCTTTATCCTACCCCTCTAGTACCTTGTACAGGTATCCAGGGTCTCTCCGTACAGAACATTCATGAACAAACAGAGAATTTCCATAGACAGAAACTTTACATGAAGGAATCAAATGAAATAGTTTAGGATTTTCCAAAATTCTTGAAGGAAAAGCAATCATAATCCAGGATAATTAGTGAGTACCCACTGGGAAGGGGGACCAGCCAATCAAAGTCCAGGATAATCAGTGAGTACCTACTGGGAAGGGGGACCCTCACACTTTACATGGAACACCAAAGAGAACTGAGAAAGGACAAAAGTCATGGATGATTCTTACTGGAATGGTTCAAGTCAGAAATATAATATGGTATCATGTTCAAAGAACATAAGAAGTTCGCTTGCTTCTTCTTGTTTTCTTTTAAGGGAACAACTATCAAAACCAAAAGTTGATTCTTTCAAAAGATCAAAGAAATTGGCAACATTTGCATCAACTGATCCATGAAAAAGACTTAAGCACCAGTGTGAGTCTGTAATCCCAGAACTCAGAAACTCAGGGAGCAGTTGAGGCCAGGTAGGCTACACAGTGAGTCTTTGTCAAAATAACAATGACAAAAAAAAAAAAGAAAAAAAGAAAAAAGAAAAATCTTACTACTAAAAGTCAAGAATAAAGAAGGATACTGTAGACCTAAATAATGGAAAGGAATAACATGTAAAGATTATGAAACATATGGCAACAAATTATCTAAAGACAAGTACCAAGGGGCGACTAATCTCACAAAGCTGTCTGAAAATTGATAATCTGAAGCCTATAGTGAGAAAAGATTGACTTGATTGTTTTGGAACTTCCAGCAACAAAAAGCTCTAATGATATTTCCAATGCTTCACTATGAATTAGCTTCACTAGCTAATTCTCAAGCATTTACAACATAATGAATGTCAATCTTTTACAAACACTTGGGAAAAAGTAGAACAGAATACTTCCCTAGGATGAGACCAGTGTTACCTTATGACTAAAGTCAGATGAACCATTATGAGAAAGAAACTGTGCAGTAGTAAAAATGAATCCAATATCCTTCAACAAGACACCAGCAAGCAGACCCAGTACTATACTTCAAGAGTAAACATACCCTGACCAACTCTGACTGAATCCAAGAATGCAAGGATGGTTTAACATATGAAAATCAATCATTGTAATATGTCATATGAATAAAAGACAAAGAATTCAGCAGATGAAAAACATTGCATAAAATATCATTCCTGATGATAAAAATACACAACAAATTTGAAATACGAGGAATTTCTTTAACCTTCTGTATGGCAGCTACAAAAATATGTAGCTGATATCATCAGTAAATGGTGAAAATAATTGACTAATTAATTAATAGTGAAAGGCTGTCTTTCCTCAAAGATCAGGAATATGACAATTAAGTCCCTTTTCATTTGTCTACTTATGAATTTACTGGAGAGTCTAAACAGGGCAATAAGGTAGGAAATGAAATCAAAATTCCTCACATAAGAGAAGTGAAATTATATACATTTACAGATGCTGTTATATAGAAAATCTTAAAGAATACCCCAAATCCCTGTTTGAATTAATAAATTAACTCAGTAATCTTGCAGGATAAAAATAAGAAGATTCAAAATAACTTGCATTCCTACATGTAACAAAGAACAAAAGTAAACTAAAAATTTTCCATTTGCAATAGTACTCAAAAGAAAAGTTAATGTTTTAAAAGATAAGTTTAACAAATTACAAATCTTATACTCTGAAAACTGCAAAATACTGGAGAAATTAAAGATGACTTAAATAAATGGGAAGATGTTGATGTTTATAAATAAAAAGACCAAAACCTTTTTAGTGCATGTGGCTGAACCCATGCTTCAGACAGACTAAATACATGCTTTCCCACTGAGCTGCAACCAATACCCACAAAACAATACTCTGAAGCCTTCACTTTAGAACTAAGCAAAGCTTCATGGATGGGAGTCATTTGTTTAGGGCCAGTGCTAGCCTTTGCACCATTTCAATTACCATACATGTGACACATGAGCAAGGAATCAGAGGACATACGTCCCCAAATGAGCTACGTTTTTAGTTCATTACCTATCAAGAGAGTGTCATGCTCATCTTAAAAGTTATATTGCATGAAGCATGGGAGCTGGACAGATGGCTCAGCAGTTAAAAGCATTTGTTGCTCTCTCAGAGGACCTGGGTTCAGTTCCCAGCACCCACATGGTGCTTCATAACCACCCATAACTCAGTTCTAGAAGATCTGATACCCTCTTTGGACCTCCACCAGGCATGCATGTAGTATACATACACACATGCAGGCAGAACACTCATACATGTAAAATAAATACTTAAAACTTTTTAATTTGTATAAAAAAAGCAGTGGTCCTATATAAAGCAGCAACATTGAAGAAGAGGGGCAAAGATGGAGGATATTTCACAATTTCAAAAGCATCAGAGTTGCATTAATCAAAACAGTGGGTATTGGCAATAAGGCACACAGAGACCAACTGAACCAAATCTAAGGCCAGAAATAAACCGCCACACAAACAGGAGACTGATACGTCTAGACTTTAACACAGAGCTTACAGCAGGCCTCACCCCAGTGCTTTGGCCACCTTGTCAGGGAAATGGCTGTCCTGGGTTCCATTCCACAAGAGCTCCTTCCACAGCAGCAGGCACAGTGTGGCTCATCAGAGCCACCAACATTCTGTCCAGTCCCAAACTCACTACTGAACCGACCTTTCTTGGTGAAAATGGTCCTGTCTTTCCTGGGGAACTGGGTCTCATCCACCACCTCTCACTTTTAGCTTGAATTTTAACTCTTTACTGTCCAACTCTTCCCCTGAGGTCCGAGGCTCTGGATCCCAGGAAGAGTTCCCAACATAGGCCTGGGCTGTATTCTCTTTACCTTTACCCCAGAGCCATATGAAGTGGCAATCCAACACTTCAACTTCCTTTCTTGCCTCTTTCCTTTCCAAATCAGAGGTTCACCCAGAAGGGCTAGCCTTAGGTCCTTTTCTGTTATAATTATTTCCTCTGGGTAGCCATCTTGGCCTCAGCTATACAGCTTATTAAGTGATCTTTTCTGTTATAATTATTTCCTCCTTTATACAAGCAAGTTTCCTCTGGGTAGCCATCTTGGCCTCAGCTATACAGCTTATTAAGTGATTCAAGACACTGTGATTGCTACTATAGCAATGAGGCACACACCATTACTCACATAGTGTGTGTGTGTGTGTGTGTGTGTGTGTGTGTGTGTGTCTGACTGACTGACTGAC